ACAAATACATAGAGCTGTATGTACTGTTCATGTTTTATTACTTTATAACTTCAGATTTTCTCACATTCTGTAATGAATATTCAATTAGTAACCAAAGATTATCAATGTTTTCCGGAAAATGTTTAAGCTCCTCTGTGGTTTTTCTCCCTTCCAACATGCACACGCATTTTCCTGGTAACATTAATTCCTGTTCTATGGAACAAGAGTTGCATCAATTATTTGCTTTTCTTCCTCTTGCTGCACTGTTACATGCTGTTCCAGCAAGAGATGGATGAAGCAATTTCATTTAAATAATAACAGAACGGAAGCAGAATCCAGAGCACGTATAGTGACCTTTGAAAATAGTTGAAGTGTTTTGGTTAGCATTTATTTTTTTAATGTTGTGTTTCTGTGTAACTGAGCACCATCTGCTTTGGTCAGGAAGTAGAAATATCAGAATATAGTGAGCCAAGCAGCCATGTGGTATTTTTGAGTTCAACTGTTAATTTTGAAAAAGATTTATTTATTATTTTTTTTAAAGTACAATTTCCTGCCCTATTTCGCAACCCCCAAGCTTCAGCACATTTCTGAGGTTCTGTCCTTTCTCCTAGCAGAGCAAAGCTGCAGCTGGTGTGGCAAACAGCTGTACATGCTTTGGTAGTGGCAGAGCATTTTCTGAAATGGAAAATTCCTCTTTTAGGGCAACTTCAAGTTTTCTTTGGGTAGTTAGAGAAAAAGACACTACAGGAAGGTAATGCCTTGTTACCAGTTATATCAGAAAGCACAAACTCAGGATCTACACATAATTTGTTTTGAGGGTTTGATTAGGAGTGGCCCTTAAGTGCCATGCCAAAGTGCTGATAATATTCCCTTGATAATATTCCCTTAATATTCCCTTGACACCAGGCTCTCCAGCAGAACATTCTTTCTGAATAAGCACCCTTAACAACACAGCAAGCCCTGCATCCTCCCAAGGGACAATTTAACAGTTGTATTTCGTCCTTGCCCATGAACAGGCCAGAGCTTAATGTTGTGCTGTGCTTCTTCTGTGGCTGCACAGCTCCTTTTGCTTGCTGCACTGAAATGCTCAGGCCATAGGCCAGCTTGCACCCAGCTTGCACTGTCCAGTGTGCGGAGAAATATCTTGCAGACAGCGCCCTCTTTGCACAGCTGGGAAAAACTGCATAAGAAAGCTTGAGCTGATAAATGTAATTACAGATGCAAATGGATTACAGTGAATTAAAAATCTGCTGGGTCTCAAAGGAACCGTGTGCTGTACAGGAAAATTGTCCTATAGCCTTAGCATTTGATCAAGTTGTTCCCATCTGCTGATGTGCAGACCCAACAATGACAAGATTTATCAGCCAGAGGGGAAGGGAAAGCCAGCCTGATGCAGTCAGGAGCTATCTGTGCTTGGAGATTATTTGGTTACTAATAAAGGGTCAAGAAGGAGGCTTTGAAATGCAAAACATTGTAGTTTCATACGTTGAATATCAGGTTGAAATCAATCACACATTTTCATTATTAATTTAACAAATGTGTTTCTAGAAGATGCGTTAAAGTAACCTTGGTGTGCAGGTTACCAGATCTTTAGCTGAAAATGGTCTGTCAGGATGGGAATGTAATTTTGACAAAACATCTGTCTTTCTCTTTGACAGCTATTCTTAAAGTAACTGCAAATATGAAAGGTAGGCTATATTTTTCCTTCCCAATAACTTCAAAGTGACATGTAAACAAACACTTGTATTTTTTTAATGTATTGAATTTATGAAATTATGATTTTTTATAATTTCATATGATTATGATTTCATGAAATATAAAATTTATGAAATATACATATATTTGGTTTATATATTTATTTATGTTTTTAGTTTACTTAGTTGCCATTGAATTAATTGCCATAATGATTTAGCAGTACCTAGAAGACACACACAGCATCCCAAGAAAACTAAATGCTTCGGTAAACTGATCACCCTCTCTTTGCTCCTTCATATGCTCTAATGTCTGTGAGGGGGCTGACACACAGACACCGCGATAGATTTTTAATACAGCTCTCATCCTAAAAAAGCATGTGAGCGTATTTACACCTTAACAACCACAGCTTCTTTGTCAACTTCCTATACTTGCCTCAAGAGAGCAGTTGAAGAAGGCCAGGGGATGTTGGAAGTTAAATTCCACTTCCTTCATAAACATGGGTTCCTGATTAACACCACAGTAACTAAGGGGAAAATTAGTCCAGTAGTCTACATATTTTTGGCTCTAATAGGCACGCTTCTAATAACTTTGTATTCATTTACAGATGCCAAAAAAGACAAAGAACATGGTCAGAGCACTGTTTGGATACTTACTCTGGTCGTCATCATTTTAGTAGCGATGGGTTTCATGGCTTATTTCTTATTCAAGATCAAAAACCAAAGGGAGACTCAACGAGCAGTGAGGCAATATAGCACACTGCTAGAGCACAGCAGTAACCTACCTGGAGGGGACGATGATAATGATCCTGCCAGCAACAAAGAAAAAGATGAACACAGCATCATCTAATGTGATTACATAGCTAAACTGTAAAGTCGAGCTTAAAAAATAATTTAGCCAGAACAAAAGAAGTCATAGTAAATGTTACATACACCAGCTTACATTATGAACTAAAGTAGCAATTATTCCTTTTGTATGGATGAAGGACTATTGCTCTATGCTTTTCAAGACATTCTCTCAGGACTAAGACTCAGAGTACTGTGTAAAATCGCTAAGTAAACAAGCATGACAAATAGAAGATCCAGTGTGTATCTGGAGTTAAAAGATATGGATCAATAACCTAGTGTTTGTTTTTTTTTAGAGATCTGTGGCACCATCACACACAGAACAAAGTACAGATACACATTGAGCGTTCGACACCACTCAGCCCCAAAGCCTGCCTTTTGAGGGTGCATACTGATACTCAAATGAAATGGTGTTTGGAATAACCAGAGATTTACATGAATTGCTTTCCTCCATTATCACACCTTTATTACACACTAAACAAATAAAATTGCCATAATATTGTAACTTGCCATATTGCCTTTCTTGTCATAATATTGTAGCTATAAGTGAAATATTTGTCCTGCATTCATGGAGTTTCAGAGCTTCAGTTTAGATTAGTGATATTCTTTGACAATGGACATTTTGCATCAATTAAATATTACATTATATCAATAAAGGATCTATATCTTACATAATAATACTTCAGTGCTGTTGAATTAGCATGCTAATGCTCAACTGTGTTATATGAATTGGTGACCAAATGAGTCATGTACGTTATAAGATTATAAGGAAACACAGAAACATGAACAAGGCATCAGAATAAAAATAAATGTAAATAAACTATAAAATAATGTGAATGCCAAATAAAGCTGGAAGAATCCTTTCCTGTTTTATTTCACTTGACATCTCATTTTTCTATGCCTTCTCGTAACCTCCAGCTCTCTGACAATTCAACTCATGATAGGACATTGTATTCATGCTTAACCTCAGATGGTTCAGGCCAGTAAGGCAGTGGGGCAAAGAACAACATCTTGGTAGTGTATCATGTGTACTGTGCTGTTTGTTTATTCTATGTTGTCTACGCAAGACTGGGAAAAATAAAAAAATAAAAAAAAAGAAAAAAAAAAAGAAAAAGAAAAAAAAAAAAAAGAAAGACCTTAAGGAAGTCCTCTGGTAAAAACAGACCCTTAAGAAGTGCATAGAAACTGTACAGGTGAGGTTGTTGGGAAGGAGAGATTCATATGATGTTGGATTGGTGGTTGATGGATATTGAAGTCAAGAAGAAAATATTTCAGAGGCCAGGAAATGAAGGGCATTCTGTGCTAAAACTATTTTTACTGTCAGTCCCCTTGATCTTACAATTTTTTATTTATTTTCCTTCATGAAAGTTAGAAAATGTACCAATGTTTATGTTTTTGTAAATACTGACATTGAACTGAATCCAGCACTCTTTGGTGGCTAGTGATAAAGCCAAGGCAAATGAAGAGTAAACAGACGAAGAAAAACAAAACCATAAATATAACAGCTAATAACATGATTTATAATTTTGGTATTTTGATAGCTGATATCATTAACACAGTTCTGCAAGACCCTATATTCTGTAAATGGATTTCATCAAGTCTTACATAAAGTGATGCATCACTCTTGCAGAATATACTGGGGGATTTGTTTTCATAATAAAGCTATGAAAACTGAGACAAAATTCTAAAGGTAATTTTTGCTGAATATCTTTTTCCTTCAAAAAAAATAATGTATATATTTTTTTGCCACATAGCTAGAATTGATTTCTGCTTAAGAAAGGGCTACAGCTTTTTTTTTTCTTTTTTTTTGAGAATATTTCTTTTTGCTTGTCTCACACATGGTGCAAAGAATGAATTTTAAGCGTTAAAATTCATTCATATTTTATGTATTAAGTAATTCTGAAAGGTAGCTTTCAATCTGTTTTGTTGTCAAAATCATCAATTAGCAGAAAGATTTGTAAAGATTTGTCTAATTTGCATTGGTTCTCCTGAGTCAAATTCACATGAAATTATGACACAGTAGTGTCACCCATTGATAACCTGAAGACAAAATGAATGTATGTACATAGTATTCTCTTTGTCAACTTTCCAACCAAAATTAAATCATCTTGTTCCAGTTAACTTTTCACACTGTGATAGTTAGCAATGCTTGGCAAGCCAAATTAAATACATCCTTTATTGCAGTGACCTGCTATATATACCTGCATATACCTGTACACCTGGTCAAGAACTTTTTTTTTTTTCTCAGTTTCACAGGCATGAGATTTAAAGTAAATATCCCAGAGAAGAAAAATCAATAATTAAATAATAATAACAACAACAACAATAACAATAAAAAATAGCAGAATTATGTCAAACTGTTCAAACTTAGTCACTTGCATCTGAATGGAAGGAAACTTAATTTTCAGATGCAAAGTTTGAATTTTGTAATCGTTTTAGAATTCAAAATACCACACGTGACAGGATATTTCCTTATTTACAGCCCAGAGTTTTCTCTTTCAATTAAAACTCTCCAAGGAAGTGTTTTAGAAGGACCCAGCACCAACAACTCTTTTGGATCATTACTTCAACAATGAATTTCTGTTCATCTTTTTGTGAATAAGAAGAAAGGAATGAAACCCTTGACTTTTTCTACAGTCTTAGTTTTCCTCTCTTTCGTTCATACTGCTTTTCAGACACTCGGTGAGTTTCATTCTTTATCCTCTGCAAAAATGCATGTGAAAGTAGAAGCTTTTGTTCTCTTGCTCATTTCTTAAGCTCTTTAAGATTTTCATGCAGCTTGATTATCCTTTATTTCATATTCATCCTAACTGGAGTTACAATCAATACAGATAGAGATACTGGTTCACTTTTAAAGAGAAAGGAAAAGTCTGGGTAGGACAAAGCTAAGAGTCAGAAGTCAAGACAGTCATGCATTCAGTTAATGATTTCTTTTGGATGCATCTTAATTACTGGGTATGTCTACTATGTGAAGTAAATGGAAAGAGTTGTGAAAAATAAGAAAGCGTAAAGAATGAAAGAGTGCTTTATGTGTATATCGGGTCCTTAGGATGACAATGTGTAAGAAGCAATGGAGTCTGTGCTATAATATTGGGGCAACTGAAAAAATATTGTAAAGGTCAGAGTCAAGAATGGCCCAGGAATAGCCACTGCAACCTTTACTGTAAGGCAAAGAGATGCAGTGAATGCTCTGTAGCTGACTGTGAACAGACTTCAGCTGGCTTTCCCTTTTGACGTTAAAATAGTGATAAGGTTCAAGGATATTTTCCCTATCCATCCTTCAATTCATTAAATTTGTGGAGGATCAGGATATGAATTACAGCTTCTGAAAGCAGATACTGTGTCATGTGAGCTGTGCCAGCACCAGCCAGTGAAAAAAGGATGTCTACCCTGCACTCTGCCAGATCACATGGGCCAACCCCATGTGATGGCCCAATCACAAGCATCACAATTATTGGTGAGAATTCCTATTATTAGACCCAATATGATTCAATTATGAGGGCAATGGCTGAAATTTTGTATATTACACTTTGCACTTAAGTAGTAAGCTGTAATAATTAAAAGATTTAATATAAGATAAAACTTATAAAAAACTAAACGTATAAAACTTATAAAATAAACTTATAATAAAAATAAACTGAAAACTGTAAAAAACTAAAACTAAACTAAAGGAAAGAAGAAACTGTGTTGTAATTCTGAATCCAGATTTGAAGAAGTGAAACTTTCATAAATTACAAAGCTGTTAAAAATACACAGGACCTTCTGTGGAGAGAGAATATTGAACACAGATATAACAAGAATTGTCATAAATACATTAATCAAAATTTCTCCCGCACTTTCTATTCTGCTCACAGTTCGACACTGACAGTGCCCCTAACATCCTGTCCCTAGCTTAGGAATTTACTTTAGTGTTTGGAAGGGTATTGCATATTCTGTTGTGCTGTTACTCTTGGACAAATAGAAAGATGTTACAGGAATGCACAGACACATGCCTGGTATCTCTATATACTGCCCAGTATTGGTTCTTGTAACAATTGTTGAGTGATTTGGTTGTGTTTATATGTATTGATTTCTGATGATAAATGAATTACTAAGAGGATACTGGAAGAGGGCAAGGTAATAAGTCATAATTTTTCACCCTTAAAAAACAAACAAACCCCAAACAAACAAACAAAAATCAAATAAACAAAGGTCACGTGAAAAACAAACAAACAAACAAAACAGAACACAGCAATTACAGAAGGCAAAGGTCAAATAAACTTAACTTATTAGCTTTATTAACCACAATTATAGTCTGGTGGAAATGTATGTGCAGGAAGTGATGGCAGCCTTCTGAATATTCAGTGAGGCCTCTTTTAGAAATCTTGAAAGAAATGTATATTTCATCACGGATGTGGAAAAACAAAATCCAGTATACTCATGAAAATTCTATTGTACTGATATTTTTGAAGCTACGTCATAATATAATTTATGTATTGTTATTGCTCTGCACTATATTTATATAAGATGCATTTATTTTTCCTTACCAGAAAGAAAGAAAAGGCTTGAAAATGCTGTCTGATGTGACAAAAGTGACTCAAATTTTGTCTTCTGACATGAGTCAGGAGATTAGCATAGAATTGTCAACAAAATACATATCTCTCCTTACAAGGTCCCTCATAATATGTTCACCATAAATACATTAATTCTGATTATTTTGTTTTACAGATGATAAAATATTTTTAATATACAATGGGGATAGCAAACAGTGCTTAACTGCTCAGAGATCTCATGAAGTCACAACAGCTGCTTGCAACAAAAATAGTGAATTACAAAAATTCAGATGGGTGTCTGACCAGCAGGTGATGAGCATGGCATTTGCACAATGTCTGGGAGTGCCTTACAAGCAAGACCAGGCTAAAATTTCTTTGTATCCCTGCAACAAGAAAAGTGAATTCCAAAAATGGGAGTGCAGAAATGCAAGCTTGGCAATCCAAGGGGAAGATTTGTTTCTCAGTGCTGGCAAAAAGAGAAAAGACAATATTGTACTGAACAAGGTGTCAGGTACAACAAATAAATGGAAGATCCATGGAACCAGGGATGACTTGTGTTCTCAAGGCCATGAAGGTAATGTTTGAAGATTAATCCTGACAGTGTCATGTTCTCACTTGTTTGCCATCACAGACTTCTTTTATTTCTGCTCCCCTTAGTCTTAGCAGCTGTTCCCCCTGAAGCAATGTTGGATGATCAGTTCACACACTCAAGCTGCCATTCCTCCATCCAGAGACGCAGAGGTGCTTGGCTACAGAGTGAAAAAAAAAAAATAATAAAATCATTTTTTTCTTCTATTTCTTTACTTTAAAAGCAAAGGTGGTTCTAAGTTATTTTAGTGATTAGCTTTATTCTAAGCACTTTATTTAATTAAACAAGCTTAATTAAATAAACTAAAGCAGTTTACTAGTACTAGTGAAATTGTATTATCATTCTTGGATGAAAGACAAAAATCCTTAAGGTTTTTGCCAATAGTAAACATAAGGAAATAATTCTATACATGCTACCATTCTGTTACACAAGATATTTTCAGAAAATAGAGATTCCTATACATATATTATCATTTCTCTTTTGTCCCCTCAGATCTGTTTACACTGCTAGGAAATGCCAATGGAGCTCCATGTGCCTTCCCTTTCAAACTCCATGGTAAATGGTACACTGGGTGCACGGCTGCTGGCCGGTCAGATGGCTTGCTCTGGTGTGCAACAACACCTGACTTCGAAGTGGATCACTTGTACGGATTCTGTCCAACAGTCAGTAAGTCTCAAATGCTGAAATAGGTGTTATCACACAGCGTTGTTAGGTAAATACATCAATACTGAAATGCTGTTACAAACATGGAAAGGAAACTTCTTGTGGTGGCTTTATTTTACTAAAAGATGTGTTGCCATGACATAATCTTCCTTACAGAAGAAACAAAATACATCTCCTGTGAGTCTACAGTCAAACTGAAGTTGTCTGGGTATGTCCATCAGTAGTTAATACCTGAGAAAATACCAATATGTTTTAAATATGACCACATTTAGCCAAATCTCAAAATAGAGATGCTACTCACAGTCTTTAATTTTCCCTACCTCATTGCTATTTGTGGTAATGGTAGTACAACTGTCTCCATCCATGCAAATCTCTATTCTGCATGACAGTATTGGTCTACAGTCCATGGGAAGATAGTTTGTTTTCTGAAAACAAAAAGGAAGAAGATTGGTTCACAGGTCTTACTGGAAGAGCTGCATCATCAGCCTTTCCCCTGTAAAGTTTCCCACGTGACGGCTTCTCCCTTGCTTTGCTTCATGCTACACTGAAAGCCAACAGATAAATGTATGTGCATCTGAGAACAGACTCTGAAGGACAGCAAAATATAGCGTTACTGAAAATAATGAAAATACTGCCTAATATTTCAGTGTTATACCACAGACTCATTTTTCAATCAAATTTGTCATTTTGATAGATAGGAGAAACAAGATTCAGCTCATAATCAGCCAACAACCACCACCATCTTTTTCACTGACATTACTGAAGATGACTACCTGGTGCAATATTACACACAATAGCTTAAAAGAGGCCCTGTACACCCTCCCTGTACAAACTGGGAAACAAGAAGTATTTGGCATTATATAATTGTTGGACATTGTCATCAATACCTGAGTCTACAATTCAAAATGAATGTTAAATATTGAAATGGATTAGCAAGAAAGAAAAACAATAGAAAAAATAGGAAAGCTGTTTTTTTTTTTTTTTTTTTTTTTTTTTTCCTGAAGAATGGTTCAAGAAATCCAACTTATTTTCCTTAACAAAAGAAAAATCTAAGGGAAGTTGTAATCACAGTGTATTAGCAAATACCCGGAGATCAGTTTTGCTAAGAAAAAGCTCCCAGAAGACAATTTCTAAGTTCTAGTGACCCACAAAGAATAGAAACAGGATGTACAAAAAAAAAATTTAAAAAAAAATAAATGATGACATAACTTAAAGAGTAAAGTTTCCATCATTGAAAATCTTTGCATTTCAGCTGTATTTCAGAGAAGAATTAATTCAGATATAGCTTATGAGCTTCTGAAAATCTGAAAAGATTTTCAGAGTAGATAATGGCTAAGGTGTAGTTTTGCTTTATTGCTTTATTTTTTTTTTTTTAACCTGAAGAGTATCAGATTTGGCAGAAAATTTGTAAATGAAGGATAAAAGATCATCTCTGTTAATGTCAATAGCAAACCCTCTTTTACTTAATAAAGAGCACACTAACTGAAAAGTATGGGTTTTAGGGGTTTAGGCTTGTTTAGAATGATATAATTTCACAAGTAAATTTGTAGTTAAATTTTCTCATAACATTTTTTATATTTCTAACAAACTGCACTATTAAATATCTTTTCTCTCACACAGGCAGTGACAATGACAAATTTTGGAGTGTAGATCCTTTAACAGGAACCTACTACCAGATAAACTTCCAGTCAGCTCTCACATGGCACCAAGCAAGGAAGAGCTGCCAACAACAGAATGCAGAGCTGCTAAGTGTCACAGAGATACATGAGCAAATGTATCTTAGAGGTGAGCAAACAAGCAATGAAAAGAGTGTCAAGGAGTTTTTGTCTGATTAAAAATCTTTTGGTGCTTTAATCACATCACAATGAATAATTAAATTATTATTAGCATTTCCACTGCTAGGAAAGTATTGACATTACTGTAAGTAACACTTTTAAAAAGTGGAACTTATAAAAGCTGTGGAGTTGTCAGTTAAGATTAGTTTTATTATTATTATTCTTTGCAAATAATTTAAAATTTTCCAGTTAATTAAGCAAGATTTGGATCAAATTCAGTACATATGAACATACCAGTCCAAGAAAAGAACCTTATAACAAAATCATTATAGTAGATAGTCAATATATGACTTTTGTACTAAGAAATCAGTATTCTTTTTGTAGACCTAATAAAACAGATTTTTTAAAATAACATAAAAATTTTGTACAAAACACCAGTGAAAATCTGCATAAAGACTTTGTGGCTTTATGCATGGACTCTGTAGAATGAAGACCCTGAATTAATTTCACCAAACTTTACTAAACTTGTAAATGTTAACAGTTGCAATTCAGTAAGCCCCTTTTTAGGGCTTATTGCTTACATACAACCATAGAATAATATTAAATTCAGATAAAGTAATATGTCAACTAATCTTTTCCCATGCTCTACCTTTCACCTGCAGAATAAAGTCTCTGAATTTATTACTAGTAAACACAGATTCTGTGCTGAACTTGGAAATCACTAACAGACATTTATTATCCTCCTCTGAAACTTGAGGTCATGGAGCATTTCATAACAAATGTGATGAGAATTCCCACTCTTTTGGTTACCTAGATCTGATTGACAGCAAGAGATCCCCCCTCTGGATTGGGCTTAACAGTCTGAATCTCAACAGCGGCTGGCAGTGGAGCGGTGGCTTTCCTTTCAGATACTTAAACTGGGCAACAGGTTGTAATCTTATTTTGTTAACAGATTTTTGAATGAATCATTCCTGACAGAATGTTGAATGCATATTAACTACAGAACTGTAGTATTCCCCATGAATACAATGAATTAAGTTTGAAAGGTTTATGAGACATGAGATTAAAAAACTGAGAATGATGATTTTTTTTTTCACTGTGTATCAAAAGGAGTTTCTAACAGAAGGGTTAAATAAACTTATGCTCTACCAGATGTAACTAAAGTGAAAAGCGCTGAGTTGTAGCATACCATACTTACCTTCAAGCGAGCTAAAACCCATGTCTCCAGCTCACATAAGGGTTATCAGACCTTGCTGCTTGCAAGGACTCAGCTGTCCGAACATCAGCCTTTCCCTTCGCCTCCTACACTTTTCTTCCTTTCTAGTCTCCTCTTTAAAATTCGAGAAAGGCTGTAAATGGAGTTCACAGCACTGGCAGTTTGTCTTTGAAGATCTCCTGCTGGTTGTCATGGTAGCAGTGTGCAGCAAATGCCGAATGTTCGTTTACTAAGTCCATCTTTTGGCTCTCCTTACGTCTCAAAGGCTCCCCTGCACCACCTGTTTTTGTCTGGCACAAAGAATGGGGGGAAAGCTCAGTGCCACTGAGCCTGATAGAGGGTTTTCTACCCTCTAGTCAAATCCCTTCAGGCTTGCAGAGAAGAGGAGAAGCTGGTCCTCAGGTTAAGCAGCCCACACCCTGGAGTTCCTGTATCCAGACAAAATGACTACTATATATTTCCAGTTTAATGCATAACTATTGTAAATTGTATCTTTTGTGAGAGGAGAGACTCACTGAACTATGAACCTCTGTGAGAAGAGGAACACTGCTCATTCCCCTAACACAGTGGTCCTAGAGAACCTCCTGGAGGGCAGGACGCAGAGGCAGGCGGGGCAGAGACATGCACCCAGCAGAAGGGCATGTGAGAAGACCTTGCTTGCAGCAAGGAACAAATCTGCAGTTCTCACTGAGGGGGCATGCAGAAAGGACCTTTCTGAAGGGCCTGAGTGGACATTTTTCATTCCAGCACAATGCTGAAAGATGCTGGACTGGAAGCTAACATACAAAGGAAAGACTACCCTGCAAGGGCAATGTGGAAACAGGGAGATTTGCTTTCCCATTTTGTGATTTGGCATGTCTCATCCAACTGATTCGTTATTATATTTTAGGAATTCCATATTATGGTTTTTGTGCTCCACTGAACACAGTTGTAGGAACTTGAAACCATTTAACATGCTCCCACAAAGAAGAATCATACCCTGCTGGACTTTGATCAATTCACATCACTCTCTGTTCAACTGCTAGACAACAGATCTCACAGATCAGTTAATTTTTCTTTTTACATTTTCTCTCTTTTTTTTTTTTTTTTTAAATAATATTCACTCAATGAACTTGGTTTTGTTCTATAATACAGACCTAGAATTCTAATTTTCATTTTTTGAAACTTCTTTTTATCACTAGCAGATCATGGCTCTTACTCTGAAGAACATTTTTCTCTCTTCGCATCTGAAAAATTCCTTACCTGAATATCAATTAAGAAAAGACGCTGCCTTACTGTTTTCCTGCTCCAAAATATTAGCTCAAACGGTGTCCTTTGACTTAGGGCTTTAAGCTCATTACTAATTAGTTCTATTAGTATAACAGGGTACTGACTGCAAAATGTACACAAAACAAGATGTTTCATGAGTTATGAAACCATGAGCTCTGATTTCCTACAGTTTGAGTGCAGCATCACTACCATGGCAGTATCAGATACCCCTTCAGTGTCTGGAAGGGGTCTTCTGTCCAGTATCTACTGACTGGGCAAGAGCATTAGCTGTGCTGCAGCTGGTTGTGAGCTATACATTTGATGACTTTTAATGGATCTATGGCTGACACTCACGTACGGGCTGATTAAATGGTCAATGGGACAAGGAGAGAACTTGCTGCACCATTTCCATCAGTGTGGGCTCTAAGTTTAGTCTCTCTTTTGTGCAAACTGACAACTTTCACAAAACTTATAGGACCATCATATTTTTGAGACTGTAATTCTGCAATCAGATATGGCAGAAAATGTGAATTATGCAACAAGCATCGAAAAAAAATGTTTTGATGGGTACTTTTAAATTACATTTCCTTATCTGCAGTAGAAAAATAAATGTAGCAATGAAGTCATGAGTCTATAATTGACACATGAAAAGGCTGGAAGTAAATTGTTCTTTCAGCTGCTGACATAAAACCTGTGCTACATAAAAATAATTTGTTTTTCACTTTATGAAGGAAGTCCTTCTCCTGAGCCTGAGAAACTCTGTGCAGTACTAAATCCCAGAAGAGATGCTAAATGGGAAAACCAGCCATGTGAGAAGAAAGTTGGCTATATCTGTAAAAAGGAAAACTTCACATTGGATCCTTTCAGTCTTCCATCAGGTATGTCAAGCAAATAGAAAACCTTTGATAAAAACAAAATTTGTGTCACTTAGATGAAATTCCACGGCTACTTAAAAAAGAAAAAAAAAAAAAAAAAGTCATTTTCACTTGATGTGAAACTGCTTTGTCTACTGCTTTGATGAGTAGAACAGAACAAAGCATGTTTTATTTCTTAAACCAAGTACATTTAAATATTGGAAATGTTCCTGAAACTTAGGAACCACATAAGCAATTTTTAATTCATGCAATTTTTAATTCATGCAATTTTTAATTCATACATGATTCCAGACGCAATGATCTAACCCATGTGTTATCACAGATGTACCAAGACTGTACATCCTAGTGTGAAAGAAAATAAAGTTAGGTATGCTTCACCATCCCTGAGGCGTGTTCTAACAAAAAAATCTAGGCTTCTCACTGAAATCTGGGAGATGGCACCAACAGGCTAGAGCCCTTCTCTATGAGATTGTATGTGACCTGCAAAGACGGCAAAATAGATCGACTTCCTTCAGACCACTTTTCCACTGCACTGTTTTATTTTCTTGTTCTCTGGTGATTAATTTAGTGACAACTATCAGGGAAAGCCACGGAATTACTTGTGCTGCAGTAATAATGCCTGTATGAAACTTGCAAAATAAAATTGGATGGGATATATTGTATGAAAACACCGCATGTACCGCATGTGCAATTTCAAAATATTTCCCCATCCAAAAGTGAACATTTCACACTAGTGAAGACCAGTTACCATGGGCTCTGTTTTTTATGATTTTTTTTTTTTTTTAAATACAGCATGTTTTCTGTAAAAGTACAATGTGCAACAGCAAACAGACTAAAATGTTTTACACATCTGAGGAATGAATAGAAGTACTGCTTATTTGTAATCACTCAGTTTTCACTTGAATTAGCTTATTATTTGATTTCAAATGTCATTGTATTGTTTGCATCATTTAAAAACTTGAAATATGTATTTATTTTGAGGGGATGCGCTGCCAGTTAAATGCCCAGAAGGATGGTTGCCCTATGCAGGTCATTGTTATATGGTTCATAGAGAGCCCAGGGTATGGAAAGAAGCCTTAACTTCCTGCAATGAGAGCAATGGCAATCTGGTCAGTATTCACAATCCTGAAGAGCATGGCTTCATACTATCTCAGCTTGGTTACAGTGAGTATTTATATAGGGAGGTGTTTATGACAAATGGGAAATTATATTATTCTAAATTTTACAGCATTTAAAAAAAGTTTCTTATTTGTTTCATATGATTATTTACAGGGAAACATACAGATATATAGCTAAAAATAAATAAATAAATAAAATAAAAAGAAAAAAATATCACAAAAATCCCCATAAACACGAGTGGAATCTTTAGCACTCTCTCTTTTATTTTTCATTGTTTTCAGTTTGATTTTCATTTGTTTTTGATTGCATAAAATCACTTTAAGGAAAAAACAGCTCTATTTGGGCTACAGTGTTTAGGCTGATTTTCTGCCTCAGATACCTTGTAGCTATAGCTACAGGGAGCAGCTTTTACTGATAAAGCTAAGGAATTTCATTTCCTGCTGGTATCTCACTTTTTAACTTCTTGAAAGAAGAATGTGAATGAGATCTTAAAATACACTTCCCTGTCATTTAATCCAAATAAATTTGTATTGAAACATGACAATATCAGCTTATCTCCTAGAAATCTTGCTCCTGTCACAACAGGTGTCTCTCACAGGTGAATTTTTGTTTTTAGAAGCTACAGATGAGCTGTGGATTGGCCTGAATGACCTCAGCATGCAGATGTATTTTGAGTGGAGTGATGGGATTCCTGTAACATACACCAAATGGTTGCCTGGAGAACCAACCCATGCAATCAATGGACAAGAAGATTGTGTTGTTATGGCAGGAGAGGTAAAATTATCCCACCTTTCTGCAGCACTATACTGTTTCATTTTTGTTTCTAGTATGAGTGCACGGAACTAGAGAATGATGTCTTTATTCACTCAAAGGATGGTTGTTCTAAATTAAATTAGAGATAACTAGATAAATGCTCATATCTGACTGTGGGTGTACATTATATGCCAAGCAAACCTTAACAGACTGCCTATGACATTTAACACAACCTCACATTTAAGCACGAATACTTGGAATTAATTCAAAGAACACAGAACTTTATTTTCCCACTGAAGAAATATTGTAAAAAAATAACCAATAAAATTTCTAAAGGAAACGCATCCTGTCCGGCTAATTTTCACCTCTTCCTAAATTGCACCTAGGATGGATACTGGGCAGACATTCCTTGTGATAGGAATTTAGGTTATATCTGCAAAAGAAAGCCACTACAGGGAGTTTCTGGGACCCTAAAGACTGATCCTGCCTGTCTGAAGGTAAAAATAAAATATCTTCAATAATCTGGTTAACAAAACTTCATTGTCTTCACAAGGTCCACTTGACATCGAGATCATCTTTTTCCTCTAGTAAGTGTGTTTGTAAATCAAGAGTGATAATTTTCAATATATTCTCTTACTTACAGTAAAGCTATTCTTAATTTTGTTATTGCTAATATGAGTCATCCGCATTATTTTCAGAATGGTCTGCGAAAAAGGCTAAAGCCATTACTGTGGTTTTGTGCATATGTTATATTCTTCTACTAACCATCTGTGGTTATCTAAGATGTAGTAGAAACTGGGAACAATTTTTGAACAATGACGTGATGTAAGATGACAAATCTAATTGCTAATGAAGTCAAATCAAAACAATCTTTTTTTTTTTTTTTTTTTATAAATGAATTTATTTTTAGAACAAGTTATTGTATCCTACTGCTTTTATTCTTCTCTTTATTTCTTCCATTTACTTTCCTGTTTACTAGTGCTCAATAATTAGTAACATTTCCCACAGCCCTATACAGGGAACACAGCAGAGGCTCATTGCACTAACTGGAACTAGGCAGATATAAAATATTGAGCACAGATATACATATATATATACATTAACCGTTAACCTTTCTTGGGCACAGCAAGTATACCTTGAGCTGGTAAAGAAGGGGAAACTGGAATTCAGCTGTATGTATGTAATTTTGAATATTTTCTTTCTCAATATAGAATCACAGAATGGTTTAGATTGGAAGGGACCTTAAAGATAACCCAGTTCCACCCCCCCTACCATGGGCAGGGACACCTCCCACCAGATCAGGTTGCCCAAAGCCCCATCCAGCCTGGCCTTGAACACCTCCAGGGATAGGGCATACACAGCTTCTCTGAACAACTTATTCCAGTGCCTCACCACCCTCATAGTCAAGAATTTGTTACTTCTATCTAATCTAAACTTCACCTGTTTTAGTTTAAAACCATACTCCTTGTCCTATCACTACAGTCCCTGACAAACATTTCCTCACCAGCTTTCCTGTAGGCCCCCTTTCTGTACTGGAAGGCCCCTATAAGGTTTCCCCAGAGACTTCTCTTGTCCAGACTGAACAACCACAACTCCCTCAGCCTGTCTTCATAGGAGAAGTGCTCCAGACCTTTCATCATTGGTAGTTTTTATGCTATATCTTCAGTTGGACTTTTAAAGTGAACTGATGGGTTAAATCAATTAATTAGTCTAGTTACAGTTCTTTTAGCCTAGAAACGTAAGTACATTTGACTCAGTGTCTCACTATAACACAGACCATTCTCTGTGGTTCTGAGCAAAGAAATGTTTTATTCATCTACATCTGAATACACTCCCCATTCTACATGCCTCTGACTTTTCTTAGTTAAAATGTACGATTTATTAGTTGTTGAAAGAGAGGGAATCATGTAAATTAAATCTCTCTCTGTAGGCTCACAAAACTTAATTATTATGTCTACTGGATTTCAAATGAATATGTTATCACATTAACTTATGTTAAAAATATGTGGATTTAAAACTGTACATTGAAATTCAAGTACTAAAACATATGCTCTTTATCTACAAGTGTATTACATGTGCTCTTCTTGACAGGGCTGGGAAAGGCATGGCTTTTACTGCTATCTAGTTGGACATACACCTTTAACATTTTCAGAAGCAAAGAAAACCTGTGAAAGGAGTGGTGGTTATTTAACAAGTATAGCAGACAGGTATGAGAAGAATCTAAACATTGTACTTCTGGTGGAAAACTTATGGCATTTTATAAAATAGTTGAGAATGTCAGGGAAAAAAAAAAAAAAAAGTGGAACCATAAAAGAATGACCTTTTTCTGGAGAAAAATATTAAATACAGTACATCTTGACTAACCAAATGTTCATTACTCCTTCATGTTTTCCAGTACTCAAAGAAAAGATCACAGTTGCTTCTTCTCTGTGTGGAGCAGTTTTTCAGTATATCACAGCCTTGACTACTGTTGAAGCTAGTTCCTCTGGTATCCACTTAAGTGAGGCATTTCCACAAAAAAGGAAACCTAAAGGGGTTTGAGGGTCATTCCCTAAAGGGAATGACTCCATTCATTCTGGTCTTGTGTAGTTTAGGGTGCTGAGAAACAGCAAACTAAAGGATAACTAAGTTTCATCCTCATCTAACTTCTCACCTCATTTCAGATATGAGCAAGCCTACCTGACCAGTTTTGTTGGTCTGAGCACTGAGAAGTACTTCTGGATTGGTCTCACCGACACAGGAGAGCAAGGGATCTTCAAATGGGTGACTGGTGAAGGCGTTTTCTACACAAACTGGAACTCAGCAATGCCTGGTACTCTTTTTCATGTGCAGTCTTTGTAGTTTGTGTTTAAAAGCAGGATCTTAAAGTCCTGTGCTGGAGAAAAAGGACACAGAAGTTACAAGCTTTCAAATGTCATTTAGGAAATGGTGTAATGGTTAGGCAGATCTTTGTACCTTTGCATCCTCATCGATTTGTCCACAGCTGCTCCTCTCTGTCCCCAAGATATCATGCTTAGGGTGTGTTACATATATATGCTTTTGGAAATAAAGGCATGAAATCTTGCAGTTTTGATGGGTTCCCTGCCCTGTATGACAGCATCCAACTGTAAATCTTTCCCTTGGAACCCAGCCTTGGTGACATATGGTCAACACAATGGCCTTCTTCAGGCATTGCTTTATTTCACCGTGTGAAAAATGTAAAGGAAAAGAGACTTACACGAAGTATATGTATACCTTTGCCCTTCTCACTGCCTCTTCACTTCTCAATAGCAGCAAAGACAGAGTAGGCACTGAGGACTGAGATCTTTGTCTGGTCTTGCCAGTAGCTGTTCCCCAAAGACCAATCCTTTTCCTGTGATGCTGCACTTAGTAGCATCCCTGAAGTCAACCTGCAAGATTGCTGAAACTGCAACTGCAAGTAGTCAGTAGTCATTCCTTAAGGTTTTGGTCAAAGGAGACTATCTCAGGGCTTCCCTTCTGTAATCCCAGACAACCCTCTGAGTTACTGCAGCAAATGAAAACATTTCAGTACCTGAATCAACATAAAGAGGCATAAATTACAGTAGGATAATCACAAATATGTCTCAGCTAGTGTCATTTCCAGCTCTGGGTTTGCCTCTGGACTCTCCTGGGCTGTTTCTTGGTGACATCAGTTTAGTATGCTATGACAGCACCTGGAGGCAGTCAGGGCTTGAAGGTGCTCTGCCAGCACCTCTAAGTAAGCACTCCAAGCACCAGAGGGTTAGTTGCATAGGTTTCTTGTTTGGTTGTTTTCCTTCTTTCTTATATATATATATATATTCCTTTTTCATTGCAATTAACTTTATTTAATCTACATTATAAGGACCAATTTTTAATATAGAAAATTAAGAATGTGACAGGACAGCTTGGCAGCCAGATGTACCCATGCTCCCCACATGCTGGCAGGCAGATTGTTTTTCTCTGGCTCTGAACCCAGCAATATAAGGACTTTCTCACTTGCAACTAATTCCCTGCCCACTGGGTCCCTGAAAAACTCTCCTTGTTTTCATAATAGCTGACACATGGCTAATACCCGACACCCTGTTGATGTCAGCCTTGGACACCTGCTGATTCTTTCAGGTCTACCTGCTCTTTTCTTCACTACAAAACTTCCACCCAAGTAGAAGAGGAATGAGTTCTCTGTATGTGCACATTTGGGGAATACAGAGGCAAGGAATCTAGCAGTTTGGTTAGGCTAGGAGTTTAACACTGAGGTGTATGCAGTAATCTTAGAAATTAAGATTGATAGCAATACACTAATAGCAGCTCCACAATTGCTTTGTGGAGAGTCACAGACTATTGTTCCACTGATTCTGAGAGCAGAGAATGAAACTCATCAGGTGACGGAGATAACATTTCAGAAAGATGCGTGCTCCTTGGTGGAACAGGCTGCCAAATCCTTGCAGTGAGTGGCATAGGAAACAGTTAGGCAAGTGAGTGTTCATGCATTTGGGCTACAAAGCTTTTCAGGGGACAGTGAAGATAGTGAAGTACTCTACTTGCTGGTTTCTTCTTTACAAAGCAGACACTACATATAATATTTCAAAGACTTTTGTAAATGAATTGTATGAACTGTAAAAATAGCGGGTGAAGCACTTTAAAACACATTTTAATTTTCTTTCATATCTCACAAAGGGAATGAAGCAGGTTGTGTTGCCCTAAGGACTGGAAATGCAGCTGGACTGTGGGATGTTCAGAACTGTGAAATAAAAGCAAAATTTCTCTGCAAAAAACTAGCTGAAAAAATGACTCTTCCTCTCGCTCCTGAAAGAATTTCTTATTCCAAATGTCCCTTGGGTTGGGATACAAGCAATAGCACTAATTCATGCTTCAGAGTAAGTACTACTTTTTCCAATAATCCTGCTCATGAGATAGAAGAGTTCCAAATTCATAGGAAGTCTGAACTTCAGAGAATGGCACATTATTGTACCATATTGTAATAAGCTTTTACACAGACTACTCATGGAAATCTCTGCAATGATCACTATCACTGCATCAGTAGGGTTATCCAAGTAGCATATTGTTTGACCAATGTTATATATGATCTTTTTAATGGAATGTTTTCCCTATTTTTGTCATACATGGCAGTCAGCAGATATATTTTTAACACACTGTAAACATAAAGTTCTACTCTAAAATTTATCTACAGCTTTTTATTAGAGAAAACAACCAAAAGAAAACATGGTTTGAAGCCCGAGATTTCTGCAGAGAAATAGGAGGAGACTTGGCTGCCATTAATAGTGAAGAAGAGCAAAGAATGATAGAAAACTTAATAATGTGAGTAAAATAATATCTATAAAAGAAAAAAAATATAGGTACCATCTCCAAATACATCTTTGGAGTTGCTAAAATTAATCAAAATCCACAAACTATTAAAATTAAAAAAAGAAACAACAAACAAAACCAACAACAAAAAAAAAAGAATCAGTTGAATGTTTCTCCTTCAGACTCATTTATAACTTTATTCATTGAACCATTTTGAAAATAAATTGTCACTTCAAGTAAATATAAACATTTCACTCTTCAAAGAACACAGTAATTAGAGCATCAATGAATAAAATCAATATACTGTATATTCAACAAAGCCATTTGCAAAGTGGAAAATTTTAGGTGGTAAGCACTTATTTGCTAAAGAGAGTTAACTGACCAACATCATTTTCTTTTTAAAATTTCAACTATAATTTCTTTTTAGTAATTCAACAGTTTAGTCTTTAAATCCTCAGAAGAACTTATCCTACCCCACCATTACAGACTGAGTACTTATCAGCCAATAGTTGTGACTATTACTTATATTACTATTATTTATACTCTTGGTTTCAAAGTTTTGACTACTCAAAACCTTCAGTAAGTGTGAGTTACTGTCCCACGCAACTTGCAAAACTTAAAACAGCTAATGTGTCCTTTTCTTCCTTAATATATATATTTTTTCACATTCTAGAAAAAAATCTCCATCATCTCAGCCTTTCTGGATAGGTTTACATCTTTTGGATCCTGATGGTGGGTACTCCTGGAGTGACAGATCCCCGGTGAGTGCTCAGACTTTCCAGTTTCTCTTCTGGCTTTTTCAATGTTGGAGTTGTTTACATTACTGGCACAGATGAAGGCTGTATAAGAATTCCCAGAAATGGCTGCCTTACCATTGGGTAACTCATGGTCATTATTCTTCATACTGGTTTGGAAAATAAAAAGACTGATAAACCCCGAGGTAAAACCATCAAAACAGTGCTAACATGGAGTGCTAGTTACAGAGACAATTATCTAGGTGACAAATATATGAGAATGGTTTTATTTGTCTGTGGTGATATATTGCAATGTTCCTTTCCCCTGCTTTTGATTTATAGCCTCATTCAATTCCACACCACAGCGAAGAGGTTTCATGTGACTTCTGGCATCAATTAAACGGTCTATTAAATGCTGTGTAAGATGAGAGACTTTTTTTTTTTTTTTCTCCTACAAAATGCTATATTGATTTAATAGCCCACATAGACTCATGTGAAGCCACATGAGGAAAGTAAGGAGTGGTTTGAAACATTTTGGTGCTACCTCTTTTTCCTTCCAGAGTTCAGCTCTTTTACCTGTAAGATAAGAATAAAAATCAAAGCTGTGTTTATATTGTAGGTGAATTATACAAAAAAACTTTCTTTTGATGACACTGGATTTGAACATTGTGGAGCAATCCATGAAGAGTCTTTCAGGTTATGGATTACCATGCACTGTGAATACAGTCATGACTGGATTTGTGAAATAAAGAAAGGTAGGCTATTTCATAGAATCCCGAGTTGGAAGGGACCCACAAGGATCACTAAGTCCAACTCCTATTTTTTACTCTAAGATCACCTTAGAAAAAGAATTTAAGTTGCATCATGTTGTATCAAAATAGGAAATTTTGCAAGTTGCATGCTTGTAGAAAATTCGGTTGTTTTCACAGAAATTTTACAGAAGGAAAAATAGACCAATATATATCAATATTTTCAGAATACAATGCTTCAACTGATAACTATCAACTTTGTTTTAACATTAAAATGTATTTTTCTTGGATCTCTCAGTTGGCAGGAATTTCCTTGTAGTTGCAGATCTTATGTAGTTACTATCATTTAAATCTTTTAACCAACCAGCAAGAGAATATTTTTATAACGTGACATGATGGTTTTTTACTCAAGCATATATGTCACACACTTCATTTAAAACAATTACAGATACAGCAACACAAAAAACATGATGAAGTCCTGCGGGGAGAAAAAAAGTTACAAAGATGATATTTGTTTTACATTTGTGTAGCTCCTGGCCTTGCATGTTTAGATACATTGCTCCAGTGTCCCATTCACTGTTATATTTTTCCATTTAAGTTATTTCTCAATGGTTCATGGGTTTTCAGTCAAATGTCATTCTCCACAAAGTAGTGGCATGGATAAAAAATAAGTTTCACCAACTTATGAATAGTAAAAAAAAAAAATAAAAATATTTGAAGGATAAATTTGTTTAGTATTTGATTTTCTTGCTCAAATTTGACAGCATCTATACAGAATCTTTTATTGTTGTGCAGAGTACACCCACACTGAAGTAGTTTTACTTGTTTGTTTTCTTTCAGAAACAAGAAAGTTTAGCCAACCTTCAAAAGGCACTTACCAAAAGTTTACCAAGACAGAGATGTAGGGCTGAAACACATCCCAAACCTTCCTTCTTACTTTGAACCAAAGATACTGAATAAATATATACTGTATTGATAGAAATTTGAATGTCATTGAGATCATTTCCACTAATTGAACACTTAACATTGGTCAATATTTGGGAAACAATTTACATCTTCATTTCTTTCCCATTTTGTTACAGGGACACCCTTAAAGCCAGAACCTGTGGGTCCTTCTGCCAGTAAGTTTCTGTTTTATTTCCTTGCATCCAAAGGAACAACAGCAACTTTCGTAAGGACTGTGCAGAATACAGAGACTCCTCTTCTGTGTTGCAGTGTATGAAGTCACAGAGGATGGATGGATTATAAAAGGGGTCAAACAGTATTTCTTCAGCACAGAAAGTAGCTCTATGGAAAAAGCCAGAACATTCTGCAGAAACAATCATGGAGATCTTGCTACCATTGGAGATAATAATCAAAGAAAATTTTTGTGGAAATATGTAAGGAGAAAATTAATTTTTTACCATATACATCATATATGCACCCTACTGCATATGTTTGTGAAGTACAGGAGGACATGCTTGTTGCATAATATTACTACATTTTATCAGCAGTAGATTTCAATGTTCAATGAGTTTTGCCCATGACCAAATGTGTATAAGGAGCAATGAACAGGCAGATATTGACAAAACTGTCCTTTTGTCAGGATAGTTCTCATCTAAATCCCATATTCAGAAGTGCAGTGTTATGTGCAGATTTAAGGCTACTGCCAGGGTAGTTCTGATGGTTACATACCAAAGAAAGATTTGTCCTTCCTCAGGTCAGGGATTGACTTGTAAAAGAATCTGTAACTTCATGAATTAATTTTGCTGCAAAACATATCAAAGCCACCCACATATTTCAAGAGCATTGCCTGAGATGATGCTGGTGGGCACATGGTGGGCCATGGCAGGGTCATGCTAACAATCAGGTAGCATAGACATTGGTTCAGACTTCTGCCAGAACTCTGTTTGGTTTATCAATACCAAAGTATTCCCACAACCTCCTTTCTGTGTCACGTAATTAGATGTTTTCTTTTATTATGTGTGGGATAGGATATGAAAGGAGTAGCGGACAGACAGCTTGAGACACAGGAATTACACAACTGCCTAACTACAGAAAAATTTACGTTTACTTACTGCTAAGTGCCAAATTATTTTATACTGTTTATTTATTTAGTTAGTTTTCTCAAGTGTTCTGTGTGTCTTTCAAAATTGAAAGCACAAACACATTTTGAAAGCTTTGATTATACCACCAGTACAGCAGCCAAAACTAGGGAATCATCAGTAAAAGCAACAAAGCAGTATGTGATTTATTATATTTATTTCAACAAGAGTCCTCTCTGGTGACTAGTCATGATCGTTCATAAAACATGTATTCATCTATTTGCTTCAATAGCACAAAATATACACTTTTAAATATCAGATAACTAAGTAAGAGAAAGCACTAACAAAACGTATATTTTTGTGTTTAGATCTTAAAAAATGGCAAATTGGAGTCATATCTCATAGGATTAATTCGGAATGCCGATCAACAGTTTAGGTAGGTATTCAAGTGTTAGACATTGAAACGGGCTGCCCAGGGAAGTGGTGGAGTCATCATCCCTGGAAGTCTTTAAAAGACGTTTAGATGTAGAGCTTAGGGATATGATTTAGTGGGGACTGTTAGTGATAGGTCAGAGGTTGGACTCGATGATCTTGAGGTCTCTTCCAACCTAGAATTTCTGTGATTCTGTGATTCTGTGATAATTCATAAAATGAAGTTTTGTCCTGCCAGAGTTCCTTCTGCAGGGACACCTGCAAGGAAGTTAAAAGCAGTTTTGGAGAGATATATTGCATATTGAAACGTGTGCTCTCCCTTGGCTTAACTATTTTGTAAAATCACTGGTTTAAATGGCATTTTTATAAGGAATATCCATGCTACAAATACATAGATAAGATCTGTTAAAGATGAAGGTAATTTTGTTCTTGGACTTGGCAGGCAGGATTTTTTTAATCTATTTTTTTTTTAATCCTAGTTTAAAATCGAATTATAGACAGACTCAGCTGTAAATATGTGTGGATTTTTATTTTTTTTTTTTTTCAGTTGGATGGATGGGAGCCCACTGTACTATGCAGCTTGGGCAGCAAAGGAACCCAACTTTGCTTATGGTCAAGAAAATTGTGTAGTGTTAAATAAAAAAACTGGTGAGTTACACAACTTTTAAAAAATATTTTTTTTATCGGTGTAATTCTTCCCATGTTTGCTAAATATATTTTGTCAACTTTAATCCATTCTGTCCCAGTAATCTGAGGGAAAATATACATAATGAAGTGTAGTCATTATAACTGAGGTTAGCTGAGGGGCAACATTTGCCATAAGAGATTTGACATCAATAGGGATTCAAGGATAAAACGGTCATTAATTTTTCAGCTGTACGAGCAGTATGTTCTATTCAAATCAATAGCATATTTTTCTTTCAAAAAAATAATCAGGGAGTATTTAGCAAAAGAATAGAATATATAAGCAAGGACCTAACAGACATGTGGAGTTTCACATTTAGTTGTGCTTTCACTGTGAAACTGTTACTTTCCACTAGAAGGTTTGAATATAACAAAGCTGTTTGTGGGTTCACTCAGAGTCACCATGTCAGCCGTATCTTATGGCTACTACAGCCACAGCAGGATCAAAGTCCTCCTGCAAGCAGTGATGGAGGTAGAGTCTAGCTGAAGCACACAGTCTTACGTTCCCAGACAGAGTGCCTTCAATGCTATAAGCATGGAAGCGAGTTCAGTTTTCCACAAATTTCTGTCTTTGAATCAATGTCTTATTATCTATATTTAAACTGATTTCAGGTTTGTGGAATGATGTCAATTGTGGTTTTTCAAATGGCTTTATCTGTGAGAGGCATAGAAGTTTTATAAATGCAACACTTGCTCCAGCAGTAACTTCACCTCCAGGAGGATGTCCTGAAGATTGGCTTTTATTTAAAAATCAGGTATCATAACATGCATCTAAGTGCAATGATATTTGTCCTTGAGAAGATACCTAAAGCTACACAAGGGGTCTTTTGTATTCCAAATATCTTTTGACTGGGATTATCCAAAGTCACGTTAAAAATTTAACCAGCTACCTAATTCTTACAAAATTAAATCATAATTATAGTTATAGATTTTTTTTGAAGAGTATTAATCTGAGATACAGTAGAAAACTGTTACATAGTATATACTAAAAACTAACAAAAAAACCCTACAACTGAATTCAACTGAAAGCACTAATTGTAGTGTACAGTCAATCATTTGAGCTGGGACAAATCAGAAATAGTGCCTGATTTTTCCAAATTAGCTTCAATGTAATATACTTTCCTCTCCCTAAAAGGGAAAAACTCTGACGAGCTTACTAACCAAGGGCTCTATTTTCTAACATAAAGAATATTGTGTTGAAAGCACCCATATGCCAGTACAGTGTTGTTTTTTGTTTTTTTTTTTTTTTTTTTTTAATTTTAATTTTAATTTTAAACTTTCATTTTTATTTTTATTTTTACTTTTACTTTTACTTTTATTTTTATTTTTATTTATTTTAACAGTTGTCAGAGTTATTTTCCACAAACTGAGTATGGCATTCTCTGAGAGTGCTACTGGTACAGCAGAGAGGAGAGGGCACATAGGGCACACTCATAATTGCCAAAACTATACCAGGGTGAATGTTTATTGGTAGTGTGGTGATTACATGACTATGCACTTTTAAAGAAATCATAATATACATTTATTTTTAAGAAGCCATCATACATCTCCATTTATAAAAGAGCTAGTAAATGGGAAAGGCTGAATACACACATGAGAATACCATAGGCCAAAACTACTTTTCAGAAAGTTCCGATGATTTCACATGGAGTCCTGGGCTGGGCTTCTCCAGAACAGTTAACACATTAAGTTCTCATCAAGCTCCTACCATGAACTATAGTTTATAAAGCTTATAGTTTATAAAGGTCTGTTTGAATTTTGTTGTGACATTCAGAGTTCCTTTCAAAAAGATATGGTATGGAGTAAATTTAAAAATTATGAATGGTTTTGACTTGGTTACAGAGCTGAGCCCCTGCTACCTCTAGAAAATTCTCTTCTTGTATGATGGGGCTAATTTCTACTTAAACTGGTGCAATGCAAACCTAAATTCCGTTTGGTGTCACTCACTGATGGCCTAACTTGTTTTTCCTAGTGTTACAAATTCTTTGGTTCTTCCTATCAAGATTGGTATACTGCAAGTAGAGCTTGTATCAGCCTTGGAGGACACCTGGCTACCATAACAAATGAACAAGTACAAGGTATAGTACAATGACCCTTTAGGTAATAGCATTTATTCTGTAGACACTGGTCATTTTCTGCAAATAAGAACATGGCAAAAAGAGACAGCATGTAAATACAAGTATTTTATAATACACATACTTAACATGAGTTATATGGCCACAGCACAAAACATTTTTTGAAGAACTAGAACTATCTATTTCATGCTAATGATGCTAAAGGTTGCTTCCTCCCATTCCATGCAAACTGCTTTTTGTTATTTGTAGGGTATTAATTACCACAAAATAAAAGATCCAGATGTAGTGTTCATAGAGTTTGACACCAAGAAAAAGAAAGGAACCCATGGTCTGCTTTTGCCAGAAACAGAAAAAGATACTTTATTATACTTCTCTGAAATGACTGCCTAAATTCTGCGAATTAATTCAGCAGTACAATGTCAAATGAGGGCACTTTTTCACCTTAAGTACATTTCTGGGCTTCCATTTGCAGTTCTGTCAGTCAGTCAGCTCATCCCGAGGGTTGAACTAAAGAAACTCATTAGACAAAATGGCAGTCAGGCAACTTTCTGCCTTTCTGATCTTGCTTTATAGTTCCAAATACTTTCACTCTTTGAGACTTTACATGGGCAAAGGACTAGTATAATATTGACATAATAAATTTTACATAATCAAATCGGGTACATTTCTGATCAAATGCTAATTTAAATGCATTTAAATTACTTCAAAAAAATGAACAAAATGCTTAAAGATTTGTTTATGAGCTGATGTCTTGACTGATGATAAGACATGTTCACCTTTTTTCTATTTTTTTTTTTTTCCAGCTTTTCTCACTTACCATTTGAAGGATGTTTTTTATGATCCCTGGATTGGCTTGAATGATGTACTCAGTGAACTCAACTTTGTTTGGGCTGGTGGAAGGGCTGTCTCATATACAAACTGGGCTCCAGGTTCTCCAAAACGTGTAGAACCCATTTTGTTTGACAGCCTACATCCAGAAGATGGTCACAATCGGTTACAGGTAAATATCACTCAGAGTTTACCATGAAGTTAAATCTGGAGAGTAATATCACTTCAAGTAAACATCTCATGTTGCTTCAGACTTTGCCTCAGCCTTTTCTCCAAATTGTATGTTTATCTTTAAACTGGGATTAGAAATACAGTGCTTTAATTTTTGAGTCTACAAGCTAACTCAGAGCACAAGAGAATAAGATATCGTTGTAAGATTGCCAAAGAATTTGTAAGTATTCTGAGACAGAATGACAGATAGAATGTTCTTTTTTTTTTGTAGTAATTTTCTGTTTATTTTGGAGAAAATGTAAATGTAGAATTCAAATTTTAGAAGTTAGCATGTTAGAAACATTTTCACGTTTGATAAGTTAAATCATGTTTGAAAAAGGAGAGCATGCAAGAGTTCATTTTTTTTTTACTTCTTTCACATTTAAAATTGTAACTGAATTGTGAAGGGTTAATAGGTATAAACTATTTTTAGATATCAACAAATTTCTAAAGCAGTTATTACCTAGGTCAACCCCATAACGTTGTAAACAAATTAGCTTTCTACAAATTTGAACCACATTTATTTCCATACCTTCCTTTCAAAACTTACCTTTCACTTTCTATGTCACTATTCTACTTGCTGTCCAACCATCCTTCATTTTGCTATTCACTCCTGCAGAGAAGTCAGACATAATACTAGAGAACCAGCTAAATCTGCACCTCAGCCAATTCATTCTGCTCCTGCTCATTATGTTCTAGTCAAAGGTGTTCAGAAAGACAATAGGATACAGCACAATACATTGACTAAACTTCACTACAGCTCTAAAAATACTCCTGGGAAATATACAGAAAAAACAAAACACACTCACACACAAATAAACAAACCAACCAATCACCACCACAACCACCAAACAGAATACACTAAGTTACATTCTAATTCTCTTCTTCACCTTGAACATATTATCTCCTTCAGAAAATCCTCTTCTGAAAGATCCTGGAACAGGTTCCCCCGGGGAACTGGTCATGGCACCAAGCTTTCTGGAGTTCAAGAAGTGTTTGGACTGATTTTGGGGTAGTCTTGTGTAGAGCCAAGAGTTGGACTCTTTTTGTGTCCCTTCCAACTTAGGTTATTTTTTCATTCTATGATTTCCAAAGGAGTGAAATATTATTGAAAAATAATACTTCAAATATTATTGAAAAAGTTGCTCAAGCTTAAAAAGCAATTGCCCATCTTCTCTACTGTTTCATGATCGGCTTCTTTTCTTCTACCTAATCTTCTTCAGAGTAAGACCACAAAACCAGGCATCCCTAAACTTTTTGTATGGCAACATAGCAGGCTGTTGCAGATTGTAACTAATTTGAAGTTCCAGCTTCTAAAGCACTCAGCACCTGATCTTCTATAAATAAGAGATATTCTAAGAACTAAAGTTGATGATAACTTACTGTAAAGGATCAACAGTTAGACACATCTGTAAAGAACAAGCACTATTTGTCTTTGCAAGCCAAATACAAATCATGGTCTTCAATTTTATTTTATTTCTTCATTTTTATTAAAAATATTAGAGCTGTTTATTGAGACAGAAAGTATGATAAAGTTCTTCAAAATAACAGCATCTTTCAAATATGTCTTCTTGAAAATGATTATATGAACAAGCTGGTTGAAAAGATTTGCAAGTACCAAGGTGGAGCTGTCCACCACAGAGGAGGCCAGAAAGGAGAGAAAGGGAAAAACGGAGGGTGTTTCCAGAGCTGTATTAAAAAACCCACAATGTCAGAATTCAAAGGAAAAAAAAGGATTAAACTTCACAGGGTTAGAATACTTTGTTTTATAACTTCTAATATCAATGGATGCTCATACTCCTTCCCTTTCTCCAACAGTATGATTGTGTTGCTCTGAAGAGAGGTCCTCCTGATGATACAGGAAAATGGAGTGATGAGTCATGTTATAAATACAGTGGGTATATATGCCAGAAGAATAGTGGTGAGTTCTGTATCACTAAACTTGGGATTTATATCACAAAGATTAAAATTAACTTTTTATTTAACATGCTTTATGTTACAGTTTGTTTGTTTGTTTTTAGGTAAAATATCAATAAAACAAGAGCCCCTCTTGCATCTCAGTGTTACTTAGCAATGTTGTGGAAAAGGGAATTTAGGAAAGCAAATCAGAAGTTAGAAAAGCAAAATGCTCTTATTTTAATAAGTGTAATTAAATAGCTAAAAACCATAATTACACAATTTAATAATAATCTATAGATATGTAAGTGGTAAGCAAGTTTTACATTTATCCAAATAAACCCAACAGTCATGAAGATGCTAAGTCACAAAGAGTATTTTGAAAAAGCAGAGCAGGTGTACTATTTTTGACTCATGGTATAAAAGTTACCTCTGCTATGTAAAATTCTGAGAATTTACAACAGTACCAAGTTCCCAGAAGCTGAAAATGTATTTCTTTCATCCAGAAAGCTCATTGCTGTTTTGAAGTTATCTGTTACTTAAAAGGAATTAATGAGAAGATCTATTGAGAACTACTATATGAGGTGTATTCAAATTAGCAATTTTCTAGTAGGTTCATAAATAATATTGTTATTCATTTGCTCAAGTCAAATATATGTTCTCCAGATATAACTGTTCTTGTGTTTTGTTTTTCTTTTCCTTTATTCCTCCAGACCCTAAACTCTTTAAGTCTTCATCAACAGTGTTGGACTTTGCTTTTGACCATTCTGATGGCATTAGCTATTCTGTCACTCGTTCTAGAATGAACTGGGAGGAAGCACAAAAATCCTGCAACAACAATGCCTCAGAACTTGCCAGCATTTTAGATGCGTATAGCCAGTCACTGTTGTTCTTAATTGCACAGGAATATGGAGAGCCTCTGTGGATTGGTCTTAACAGCAACATGGTAAGAACACATGCAATACAGATAGTTAAGCTGACACAGAGGCTGAACTTACTGTATGCTTTCATCTTGAAACCTATAGGAATTTCTGCCACTATACTGCAGAAAACAGCATATCAGTGCAGTACCCATCTACATTGGCATTCACCAAAAAGGATGCAGTGGAGACTTTAACAAACTAAGAACTTTTTAAGTGTTTTTTAAGTGTTTTTTAAGTGTTTTAGCACAAGGAAATACTCCTGCAAGCTGGTATTTAACAATGCTTTGTATGGTTTGTAGTCATTTAAAGTCTCTTCTCATGTGTTTTTTTACCTGAGTCATCAGTGACATAATATCTCTGGTTGCATATGAGAGATCTGTGAAGTAATGGTTTTGATATGTGTATCTATGTTCACAAATAATTCCAGAGTAGCATTATTTCTAGTCGCAATAGAAAAATACAATTCTGGACAGAATCAAGGCAAAAATTAATTAAGGGAATCTTTAGTCTATATGATATAACTGTACATATAAAGCAATGGATATATGTTTTCATGGTGTAATTGCTCCCAAGAAAAAATTAGAATATAATGGGAAAAAAAGAAAACAACAAACTTTTCCATCTTTGAGACATATAGACCAGCTGTATGACAGGGGAGGTGAACATTTGGATGGTAGGTGTTATTTTTGACATGCTACACTCTTCCCCATGAATCACAGTCATGATAACTACAACCAAAGCAATGGTGATCAGCACTGCTTATTAAGAACACTTCCACCCACACCATCCAGGCCTTTTCATGGTGGTACCAACATGACGGTGGTAAACGAAACAAAAAACTAATTTATGCCTTTACTTATGTCCCCTTTTTATTCACTTCCATTTCCCCAAACTTGAAAAATTGTTCTGAAAACAGTATCTGTTAGATACTTTTTGTAGGGCAGAAAGAAAATTTGTTTGTGTTCATATTTGTGTATAACAGACACTGCAAATCTTCTTGCAATTAGTGTTTACAAGCACATAAAGGTGGCAATAGTAAGCTGCCAGGCGGAGAAGGACCTGGGAGTATTGGTTGATAGTCGGCTGAATATGAGCCAGCAGTGTGCTCAGGTGACCAAGAAGGCCAACAGCATCCTGGCTTGCATAAGAAGCAGTGTGGCCAGCAGGGCTAGGGAAGTGATCGTCCCCCTGTACTCAGCTCTGGTGAGGCCGCACCTCGAGTACTGTGTTCAATTTTGGGCCCCTCGCTACAAGAAGGACATCGAGGTGCTGGAGCAAGTCCAGAGAAGGGCGACGAAGCTGGTGAGGGGCCTGGAGAACAAGTCCTACAAGGAGCGGCTGAGGGAGCTGGGGTTGTTCAGCCTGGAGAAAAGGAGGCTCAGGGGGGACCTTATTGCTTTCTACAGGTACCTTAAAGGAGGCTGTAGCGAGGTGGGGGTTGGTCTGTTCTCCCACGTGCCTGGTGACAGGATGAGGGGGAATGGGCTAAAGTTGCACCAGGGGAGTTTTAGGTTGGATCTTAGGAAGAACTTCTTTACCGAAAGGGTTGTTAGACATTGGAACGGGCTGCCCAGGGAAGTGGTGGAGTCACCATCCCTGGAGGTCTTTAAACGACGTTTAGATGTAGAGCTTAGTGATATGGTTTAGTGGAGGACTTGTTAGTGTTAGGTCAGAGGTTGGACTTGATGATCTTGAGGTCTCTTTCAACCTAGAATTTCTGTGATTCTGTGATACCAGTTACATGACAGTCCTCTGAGTATCTTGTGTAGTGAATATGTCACCATCAGCAGCCTTGAAATTACAACATGGATTTTACTTCCAGACCAAGGGCACATATCAATGGACTGACAGATGGAGATCAGTTTACAGCAAGTGGTCCAGTGGAGAACCAAAACAGGCATTAGCATGTGTCTACCTAGATACTGATGGAACCTGGAAGACAGCTTCATGCAGAGAAAAATTCTTTTCTGTCTGTAAAAAATCAGATGGTAAGCATACGTTTTAACTACAGGGTGTGGAGATTTATCAACTGTGTTAATATAATTGTTAATATAACCACTGGAAAAAAAAATAAATATTTGTTTTGCACTAGTTTATAGGAAGGCATAAGCAGCTAACTACTAGATCTAAAAATTGTCTGGAATTCTTCCCAGAAGTAAATCAACCCATACTAATCATTACCAAAATTTCAAGAAAGTGAGGACTCAATGATTTCTTATCTATTCAGTCTGGGAAAAGTCCTTCATGAAATTCTGTATCCAGTTTAAGACACAGAAAAGTTTGAAAGTAGGGTTTTCAGATGACTTGGAAACAAGAATTATAAGGAAAGATTATAACTGGGCTTGTGCAAAAGACTAAGAGAAACCAGGTAATTAATTGTTGGGAATAATTAATTCAACCAGATAATCAATTTTAATTATTGAAAATGAGCCCTAAAGAAATGGAATTAAATTATTCCCTATGTCTGGTATGAGTAGGAAAAGGAGTGACAGACTTAAAGGAAAGGAAACAGGAAGGAAAGCCTTCAGATTTTAACTGTACAAAAACCTTTAACACAGGACAAAAATATACATAACACAAAATAAAAACAGATCAGGGAGTCTCCATCTCTAGAGGTTGTTAAGAACAGCCATGACAAACATCTGCTAGAAATGATGATATTATATATCAACTTCTTGTCACCTGTTAGCACAAGGATGAATTAAATAAACCTTTGAGGAACTTTCAAGTACAAACACCCAAACTTTCTGTGGAAGTTAGAATAAATACGATTTCACAATTCATCTAAGTATTCTTATGGTTTCTTCAATACTATGAAGATCTTGAACCATTAGAAACATTAAAATTACATACCAAATTACATCTCAAGAAGCTGTAATTTGACAAAAATCATCAGAATTGATATATAATATCTCTGTCTACTACAATATTCTGGAAATCTAATTTGAGAGCTGAATGTTCCTTAATGGGGAAAGAAATAGACTGTGGAAGACTCACAGGAAGAAAATGTAATTTGGCAGAACATTTAATTTTCATTCCATCTGCATTTATCTTCTCATCCAAAATCTTCCTATTATATCAGTCACTATGGAACTTATTCAGGATGCAGTTTAATGAAAAATCCTGCAAGCCATGTTAAGTCATATCAACACTTTCTTTCATAATCATAGTTTCTGTTATAAGGTTTTGATGTTGTCAAAAACTGAGACCATAGTATCAAAAGCCATTTTAAAAATAGTGGTTTTAACTAATTAGGCAAATATTTATGCCAGAAAACCAGACAGATATTATATTGATTAGTCACTATAAAAATTGTCATAAGAGAGAATCCATACTTCTTATAGACTAGTGCATCTTCCTAATCACCTTGATTAACAAATATGAAGTAAAATATATTCACAAACAAAGCCATATGAACCCAACATGCTTCATTTCTTCTCTGATGATAAACAATGTAATCTTTTTAGTTTTGCCTTACTTATATAATGGGAAACACAAATCTTATAAAATTGTTGGATTCCAACTACCTGATCTCTTACCAGTAACGGCTCCAACTGAGCCCCCTCAGCTTCCTGGAAAATGCCCTGAATCAAAAGGACACAAATCTTGGGTACCTTTCCATGGTCACTGCTATTACTTTGAGGCCACCAGGAAAAAAAGCTGGTCTCAAGCTCATCAGGAATGCATGCGACTAGGTGAGTATTGTGTTTTAGAAAGATTAAAGATGCAATGAAATAGATGAAATAATGGGTGACATTGCTAAGAAAGTCTTAGATTACTTTAAAACTTCAAACAATGCTTTTAGATTGCTTTTCTGAGAAAACCATATTTATGCTGTCTCGCAACAGAGCTAAACCTTGTCAGATACAGAGGCATCTTTGATTTCTCAATTACCAGAAGAAAAAAAAATAAAAAATAAATCCCTACTATTTTTATGAGAATTTGTGATTGGGTAGAGAGAAACTTAATATCCCACAGAGGCACAGACTGCAGTTACCTTCCTTTCCCTAAACAAGAGGGAATCCACACTCAGCGTGAACTAGGATATAAACTAGGAAGGTTTTTCTTGTTATTTCCAGGGCACAGTTTATTAATTGGATTTGACTCGCTGGGCAACAAATGAGATAGAAGAGTCACTTGGCTTCCATGAACCAGTAAAACACATTCAGCTGTTCAGCTCCTTCTCTGGAAAAGTCCCCACTGCTATGTGTGATCTGGGGAGAAGAGATGTAGATTAAAGGAGAGATGACACTACTCCACATCTCTGATTTCACTGTTAACTGAGAATTACTGTGAAACAGAATATATTTCAGTGCGAGTAAGAATAGGAAACATCCCATATATCAACACCATATTTCTGAGTGATACTCTTTTAATTGCAAATACCCTGGTAACCAGAATAAAAGATTGTAGTTGGATGGTCCATATTCTAGATTCCTATGTTTTTGCCTACACACTACCTGGGCAGGCCAGGAAGGTGATTATTTTCTGATGAACACAACACAGCTTTGTGCTGTTAGGATATATGACAAGTATAACTCAATTTCTAGACATCTTCACATTTCTAATAGCACAGTGCTGCTAAAATGCTGCCTAGCCACTGGCATGTGACAGCTGGATGCATGGTGCTGACAACATCATATGTATCACATTCAGCCTACCTGCAGTTTGTGGTGTGCTTGGACCTGTCCAAAAGCATTGTAGGAGAGCAATTTTTCTTCTCTAAATTACCTAGAGACTAAACAAAAATTCCTCTCTTCATACTGACTGGCATCCACACAGTTCAGAGTCCTGCTCAAAATACAATTATAGGGATACAATAACCATAAAAAGATTACCGAACATTATGTGTAAGAATCAGTAATATCTTTTAAGAGTTTTTGACTTAAGTTGCAAGAAAATGAGACATTGTGATGTTTTTTGTTAATACTTTTCAGTTGCTGATTTGGTATCAGTAGGAGACTATACTGAAGCAAACTTTCTGGCAGAAACCATTAAGATTCTTCATGGAAAATCTCCGAACTTTTGGATAGGGCTAAAGAAAAATGACATAGGTAGTATCTTCAATATTTAATCATATATTCATATTTCATACAAAATGACTATTCATTATATTAAGAAAGCAAACTTGTGTATTTGAAAATATAAATATATATCAAACGTATGTTTATTTCAAAGCAGGTTTACATGCACTTAGAACTGTAACTGAAACATTAATCTATTCATACTATATATTTTTATTTTCCCTATCAAAATCTGTTCTGTCTAAAGCATTGTTTTATATGTATATGCTCATTTTAAACGTCAGGACAATGGGTATGGACAAAGTCTGCAGTGGATTTTGTCAGCTGGCAAACTGGAGAGCCTTCAAACGACAGGTATAAAGACTGTGGAGAAGTCTGTGCATTGACTGGGCACTGGAAAAGCAATGTCTGTTCTTTCAGAAAAGGATATATCTGTAAAAAAGCAAAAAGTAAGTAACATTTCTAATACACTGTGACTATTAATGTCTTGTAATATATTTAAATTGTATATTGTAGAACGTGTAAAAATGTAAAATATTATAGCTTTATGTGCAAAACCAATAAACCACAATAGCAACATTCAGTTGCCAAATACTGAAGAACAGGATACAAATACTTGTCTCAGGAACAGCTGGATATCCCATGTGGCTTCTGACTGCCTCCTCACAAGTCTGCAGCTCCTGCAAGTCCTATAAAATCACTATCAGCCCCGTGCTACTCTCATGCATACTTCAGGTATCTATGTTTAGCAAAAAGAATGGAGGGACACCACTCATTTTTAATAAAAAGAATGCTTTCCTTACAATTTTCCATTAATTATCATGCAGTCTAAGTTCAAAAGCAGTGAGTTTTCTTTCATTTCAACTGAATATATTCTCAGAAAAATCTTGTTCTGATGAGTGCAACGAAAACTCTGTCTGATAATAAATGCCAGATTTGGCGCTTATTTTCATTACTATCGTTTGAACTGATTAAATACCTTCTTGTGGCACTTATCATGTAGAAGAATTATATGTGACATCAGTGTGGCAGAATCAAGTTTAATAAAATGCTAATAATATCTTGATACCAAAATGATCACCTGCAAGAAAATTCAAGGGTTTTATTACCTAAGGAGACTAAATGAAAGTATTCGAGAACATGAACATTTTGTTTGGTAAACTACATATTTCTGTTCCTCTTTCCCTTACTTGATACATTTAGGAAGTACAATTGAAATACGAACCAAATCCACAAGGAGTGGTTGTTTCCAACAGAAGAAGATAAACTCCTTTTCAGCTCATGTAAAGTTCCTCATGATACATTCCTAACTTATAACACCTTAATTCAGGAAATGTTTCCTGTTCCAGAAAACACCTAAAAAATAATATAGATCCCATGTTTGTTTCTTCGAAAGAAACATATTTGAAAACACTTTTGGAAGTAACAGAAAACTGACTATAATTTCATTTCTTGTTGGGTATCTTGACTGAGGAGGTCAGATGCTTTTAGAAGAAAGTGCAAAGCATTGTATTAGAGGTTACACACGCTTAGCTCCATTGCCCTGGGAGAGCAGGTGGATTTACGGGTAATTCTCAAGAGCATCCAGACTTTGGAATTTTAAATTGCCTCATTTTTCTAAAGCATTCAGAATAAACATTTTCTTTTCCTTCCAAAAGCTTCTGAAAAGACAGAGATGTCACCAGAAAACACAGGTAAGTAGACTTCCTTTTAAGTAGAACTAAGGAGAAACTCAAATATAACAAGAAAATAATTATATAGTTTCTAAATATTGTTTTTGAGAGTATTTAAAAATAAAAATTCATAAACTTCATCTGTATCTTGGTACAGGAAATACAAGAGATTCTGAATTAAATTGTTTTATGAGTAGACATGTTTAATTATATCTTATTCAGTTTTGATGGTAACAACAACTTGTTGAAGGGAAATTCCAAGGCTTATTGCATTCTTCTGACTTTTAGTTTAGTGTTGTTTTTTTTTTTTTTGTTTGTTTGTTTTTTATGGATTCTGAAATCTCTTAAAATAAAAGGTATTGATTCCATTTCATCCACTTACAGGAGAGAAAATGGAGAAAGCACTTTCCACTGGCATTACATGGCTGCTTGTTGTACTAGCCCTTTCTATAGTTGTAGCTGGAATTATAGTTTATTTCTACTTGAGGAAGAAAAGACAAAACCAACCATATATTTTAACCAGAATGAGTGGATCAGAAGCAACTGTGGATATACAAGGAAAAGATGCACATACCAACATGTAGTCTGACAAAATACCCATATGTCCCAAATAACGAAAATCAATCTGTGCAACTCTCAGTGGAATCTTAGGCCAGCTTTGCATTTTCTTACCCAAATAATAGTCTTCTCCCTTCACAGATATAAATTTCATGGATTTATTTAAACATATTCACATATATATACATTCCCTCCAAAATGCCCTCCAAAATGTTTCTGCTGTTTCTTTAAGGGGGAGTACAAATACATTTTTCACATAAATGAGCATGGCTAAAAAGCTGGCTCCAGAGATGTCAGGGCAAAACTCTGACTGATGTTTAATATGTGAAATTGCTTTCTTTAACTCATTTCTCCTTTTTGTATAAAGAGGAAATCATTAATCATATCTTTACATGATTTTTCCTGCTGTGTTGCTTCAGTTATGATGAAAAACTGCTCGTTTCAGACTTGCAGCTTCACAGCTTATGATACTATTTTTCATTCATGTAAAACCCACTATAAAACCTGCCTTGATGAACTCAATATTGCTTTGTTACCAGAAAATAAATATATATATGGAAAACAATTGAAAAGGCTCCTGTATTCCTACTTCTAGTCTGAACTTTGAGAACAATTATGTCATTTTCTACAGCCTTGCATTTTTGCAGTTTTCTGTAAATATAAGCATTTTTCCAGCAGGTTCAAATTAATAATAAAAATACAATATTAGATGATTCTGTTGGGTATTATTTTGGTAATGATGCTTGCAGTATGCAATGGAGATGCATCTTTTTAAATCAAAGAATGTATAACAAATGGCTATCTTATACTGCATTACATAACTCTCCAGTTTAGAGAAATAAAATCACTTGTGTATTTCTTGAAACTGAATTCTTACATTTTTGTTGTAATATCATTTGATAATGTGCTCTACAAGATTCAGAGTTTCTTTAACTGTACACAATAGAGGCATTTTCCTCAGGGGCAGACTATTATATCATATTTTAAGACATGCAACAACTCTGCTGAGATACAGAAACACCTTGCTGCAAGAAACAGATGCTCTCCTAGGCCCATCTGTAAGAGCTGTTGTCAGGATTTCTTAAGCTTAAAGTCTCTGACTGACAAAAAGATGATGCAATTAAGGCTCTCTTTTAAAGAGAATAAGTTGTATGTGTGGAATAGGTTTCTACACCTATGTCTTCAGAACGCATTTTATTACCTCTACTATTTACCTTTCATCTGGATAGCCAGTAAACAATAAAGTCCCCTAAGTAAAAATATTATTGTTAGCAACTTAGAATGGAAGTAGCTCCATCAGGAATACTTTCTTGAGCTGTTTTATCATGAGCAGTCTTAAAACATGGGGCGCCTCTGCTAACTTATGTTTCCTTCTCAGCTTTCATTTTTTCCCCCTGCACTCCTTTGCTGGATAGACAAACCTTACTCTACAGCTCCGTCTGAGTTTGTAAAGGGGTCTTTCCAATCATGGATATTGAAGGATTTCTCAAGACGCTATGACTCTTCCCTTTCTGTATGTCTGCATGACATTACTTATCCAAGAGACGTGATAAAAAAACTGATACCACTACCACCAAAATTATAGGTTATTTAAAGTAAAGATAAAAATGCAGTAAATAAAAAGTAATTTTACAATTACTTTTAAATTTTAAAATTAAGTAATTTTACAATTAAAGCCCTTTGAACTCTTTGTAAAACTCTGAGATAAAAACCCTTAAAAATAATAACAAACTCCCTAAATTACTACAGCAAATCCCATAATACCAACTCACTGCTGTTCTCAGGAGGAAATAGGAAATAGCTCAGAGAACTTTGGATAAAACTGGAATGAGAAAAACACCACCTGCTTCCCATTTAGATGACTGAAGATTAAATTGTTTCCTGGTATGTGTTACATCAATCTGGGAATACAGTTACACTTGCCTTTTTGGATGAGCAAATAGGGAAAGTGCTTTTCCTGTTCTATACTTAAAACCAATATAAGCTGCTGGGTCTTAAATTATCTTTCTTAAAAGAAAGACAGCATTTTTAAGAAATGTATAATATAGGGCTCTATTTGTTTTTTTTTTTTTTTTTTTTTTTTTTTTTTTTTAAGTTATTTGCAGGTTTTATGGTCTGTACCTGTGAAAATTAGGAGCTCATAGTAGTGGTGTTCTGGTGATCAAATTCAGCACAGTCTGGGAGCTCCAGGGAAGAAGCCTGGCTGGTATCACCACCACATGGGAAGAAAGAAAAGCTTGATAGACATGCTGCTCTGCTTATGCCAGCTATCTGTGTATTCACATGAATATCTTTTGATATAGATTTTTACACATTTTCATGTACAGATACTTTGTAGTTCAGTTCAGCATCATGTCTGAACAAGAAATGGACATGATCATGGGGCTAGGCATAATGTATGTTGCTGATATCTCTGTAAGAAACCAAAAAACTTCAAAGGCTGATCTATGACTTACAGAAAAGGGAATGACAGAAAGCACCCTGGTGACAACAGCAGTGAAAACGGGGCAGAGTGAGCCAGTGCTGCAGTGCCCGTAACTGCATAAGGGACTGAGAGGAAGGCCAAAGCCCTGCCCCAGACCTGCTCATGTAAAGCAGGCACTGTCATCATTACCCATTTCTTGCAGTGTGGGACAGCATCATTATAGCAAAGAAAAAGATCATTCAATCAAATGAGACAAGCCACTGGACAGAGACCTTTGTGCCCAAGCCCTCTGACTCCTCTACACTTGTCTTTCAGACTGGTTATTGGAGATGAATGTTGTACAGGGCAGAGGAGACCTTACCCCTTTCAATACTTTATTCTACTGCTAGTGTCCAAGTCAGATGTCTGCATGTTTCTTGTCAAAAAGACCTTAAAATGCTGTCAGTTCAGATCTTGGGATAAGAAAAATACTGCTTACTATGAATGTCTCAGTTAAATTAGCATCAAAGTGGGGAACATAAGACACTTCACCACTGCTGTTAAATATAAGCATTTATACTGTTATGTATGTATAATTGTGTATGATTGCTTACCTTATTTTTATAAATGAATAATGCTTGATTTTTCCCACTAGTTTCCGAAGCATACATAATCTCCTCTGCAACTAGATTGTGATTATTTTGTGACAGGAAAATATCATTCAACAATGGAAATACAGAACTCTTAGTCTTCTTGCAGCCAAAGGAGATGTTTTATTTTGTAACCGTGGCTGCAGAAAAGCTGAAATTATATGGTATTCAAAATATCAGAGCAAAACCAGGGGTATGTATGGAATTACAACTCATTTGTTGTCTCAAAATTACAATGGCAGAATTCTGAGAATTAATATTTTCAGTTTTCTGTGCTAGTTTGGCTTTGCATCTGTTGGAACATTTTCATGTATCCAAGACTGCTGTTGCATGCAGACTAAACTGTTGACACAATGGAAAAAAAATATACAGACAATTGGAGTGGCACTGCTGGACATAGCAGGTTTTATCTGTAAAAGAACACGAAGGAAAGAGTTGTGTTAAATCATGAACACTGATGACGAAAGTCAATATATGCTACTGTAAATACAGGAAAAAGAATAGTGACAGGATGTATCCAGAAACAGCAGCATGTAGTCGCAGTATGCCTGTGCCTTTTATGACATTACATTGCTCTTAAGTACTGAAGTTGGGATCCAATGATCATACAATTGTTATAATGGTGTCAGTAAAATTAATCACAGGTGACCCCCCCCCAAAAAAAAAAAAATCGATCCCAGTATTACTTTCAGAATAAATAGCAGTTACAGAATTATTATCATTATTATCATTTTAACTACACAACAATTAAAAATGTTTAGGGTTTTTATGGACTGATATCCCTTCACAAACAATTGTTACTACAAATTTTAAGTAAGACTTTTTAACAGATCTCCTTGTTCTCTACTCCTCTACTTAGAACAATTTTTTATAGGGAGGAAAAAAAAATTAGCTTGTCAAGACTTTATATGGTATTAAAGATGATCACAAATTTCCTTTCTGGGAAATCAGGAAGTTATCTGAGATGTGCTGCAGCTGCCGCTATTCAACTGCATTCTTAACTGCTTTAATATAAGAGAAAAACATGCCCACAAAAGAAAAGCAGAGAAGATGAAAGACAAAAAATGTTACTGCATATAATCACTGTAGCTACTCCAGGAGCTGACAAATCTCCAATACCATTCAGAAGTTTAAACTTTTGCGTCTAGTTTCTTTACAGCAATGCTTCAGAGATGCTGTCTTGATTCACTTAAGTGGATTCTTTTTAAACAGATGGATCATTTCAATACTAGGAAACAGAAAAAGCATGATGGAGAAGAAAGAATCATATGGAAAGAGATGACAATAAGGGCAGTAATTTCACTTTTCTGGTTGCTGTACTGAGGCCAGCAGAGACGATCATGTTTATGCGTTGCAAGGTAAAGACAGGCAGTATCAGTAGCACCACAGTGAATCATGAGCCTTTGGAGACAGTAAATACAGTGCCCAAGATGATAAAATTTATTCTTCTCTCCCTCCTCCCTTCTGGTATCTGTCTAACTGCAGACCACAAAAGGAGTGATGAAACAATTCATCTTGTTATTTTTCCCATCGATTATGTACACACTAGTTTTAATTAATTATTTTATATTCTGCTGTTTGCTTATCTTATTATCTTACCTGTTGTCTTCAGAAGGTAGAGCCTACTTTTATTTTTGCTGACCTTTAAAAACTTCTAATATGTAACAGGCTGAATCACTCCTGGGCCATGTGGTTTACTTTATGAATAATATCAATTTGTAACATGCAAATTCATTCATTACAATTATAAAAATATTTTCAGCCTTTTGCTTATTTAAAGCATTTTAAAGAGAATGTAAACAGAAGCAAAGTGTACCTTTTTTTTTTTTCCTTTCTTTTTTTTTCTTTTCCCTACATATATATTTTAAAGCTTTAAACTTGGACAAAGTATGAAGACTTAATCCAGGTAGTAAATTGGTTTTTAAGACAAACTTGTAATCTTTACAACATACTTACAAATAAACCTACTGTATGTTAAGAAGGAACAGGCAAACACATTCTGTGGAAATGGTTTTAGGCCAGCAACAACTTGTCACAAAAAGAAAAATTCTGGACTCCTTTTCACATAATCTTTCCCTCATTTTTCATTATAATAATTTGCAATGACAACATAATCTCTTTCATGCACAGGCTCAACCACTTAAGACAACTGAATGGAATGAACTCATCCCACATAATTTAGATATGAAATATCTATGTAGTAGCTAAACTACACACCCACAGTCCCCATTGTGATCGATACAGAGAAATAGGTACATCAGGGTACAACTACTTGATCTACTCCAGAGAATCATGAGAACTAGACTCTCACTGAAACAGAGAAAACCTAAACCAATTATTTCAAATGTAGCTACTACAGATATATTCAAATGGTTTAATTTCTTGTTGGTGTTTGTTACCTTTATTTCTTCAAGACATATTGGAGCAAACACAAAACAGTATTTAACTATGCATACAGTTTCCACTGTTATGATAAATTCATTATACACCATGAGTTAGCTGTTAGCCTGTGTAGAATTAATAACCTACGTACATCCACGGTGCTAATCAATGAGCTTAAAGTTTAAACAAATGAAAGATTCACATATATTTGAATTTAGTAATAATGCTATGACACATCCAATGACACTGTGAAGAATCATTGTGAACAAACAAAATCCAGGGAGAGTGTGATTAAAATAGTTGCAATAAAATGGAATTTTTATTGCTGTTATTTT